AGAGATGCTACTATATCAATTTTTATCGTTAGTATCAACGTAACATTTTTAATCAATTAAATTTAGTATAATATACATTTAATTATGTAATTTAATGTAATAAATTTAAAATAATTTGATTGTAAAATATTGAACATCGTAATAATTTTATTTTTATTTTCAAAATATTTTCTTTCAGGTGTAATATATCTTAAAATTATTATATAATTCTGATATATTATCGTATTTAACTTTTTGTAGAGTTCGCAAGCTAAATGATTTTTAAGAGTAGGCTTGAAACGGTTTATTTAACTATTTATTTTTATAAATAATAATATTAAAAATGAAAGAATTTTCAATTTATACTTAATTATTGTAATATTCTTTACAAATAATAGTTAATATTTTAAATATCAGCTACAAAATATAATTTATTATTATAATCCTTATAATACAGTCTATTCGAGCGCAACCAATTACGTGTCGTACTCTATGAGAGAAACTGGCACCTACGCCGTCCATACATGTGGCTGCCCTACACATCTCCGCAGATCACCTGCTCTCACAGTGTAAATTAGGTTAAGTACATAATTTTTACATAGTTATTCTATAAGAAATCACATAATGTGTGTGCAACTTAGGTCAGAAATATTTAAAATTTTTATCATTGACTTCTTGAAGGTCATTGAAAACAAACAATTTTTTTATTGTTTTTTAATAGATAGCGCAGTTTTTATTATTGAAATGAAAAAATACCTTATGTTCTAGAGTCTATAACATCACATCCAAATAAGCTTTCACGATATTAACTAGCACTGTTTCACTCATATTATATAGTATTTTAATTTCATTGATAATTTTATGAATTTTAAATTTTTTAAAATAAAAATTTTACATTTTACAGTATTTAAATAACAAAATTCGCAGGTCTAAAATTTTTTAATTTTTTTTTTTTATTGCAGGAACTATTAGTTATGTTCTTTTACCTCATATCATATTTATAATTTTTTTTTTATCGTTTTACTATCTTGAACACGCATGTTTGGCTGAAAATAGCCAATTTTATTATCTCATTATATAAAAGTAACACAACGAATTTTATAATAAAAATTGATCACTTGTGGCTAGTTAATTAAGTAAAATTAAAACTATATTAAAAATATTATTAATTTAAAAAAACTAAAAAATATTAAAAATATTAAACTCAAAAGCCACAAAAAAATTAATGAAAAGTCGCGGATACGTATTTCGGAAACAATGTTACCATTATCAACGCTAAACACATACTNAAAAAAATTAATGAAAAGTCGCGGATACGTATTTCGGAAACAATGTTACCATTATCAACGCTAAACACCGACTTTTCATTAATTTTTTTGTGGCTTTTGAGTTTAATATTTTTAATATTTTTTAGTTTTTTTAAATTAATAATATTTTTAATATAGTTTTAATTTTACTTAACAACGAATTTTTTTCAAATTTACATAGTGCTTACCTTAAGACAATTAAAATATCTGGTAAAAATTTGATGATGGAGAAGTAATTTTAACTCTACTTATAGACTTTTAAACTTTATAATTTTATAGTAAATTCACAAATTAGTAATTTTTAGTATTTTATTTTAATTTTTTACATTTACCAAAAACCATCTACAGATTTGCATCGAAGCTTTTTTTATAATAAACACTGTCAAATTAAAAATATACTGTGCCACGTCCTCGCTGTGCTGGGTTTTGTTATTATAAATGTAATAAATTCATTTGTTAGTTTTAAGTAAATTTTAGGTTTGATGCAGCTACCCAATGTTCGAAAAAATCAGCGGTACTGTAAGTCTTATTACATTATTTATTTTTATTTACTTTGGTTCTACAATGTGCGCAATCAGTTGACATACTAATAGGAGCTAGCTATTTTTTTTTTATTTAATTGATTGTAGTTTAAAATTACATGTAAGAGACCTATTTATTAAGAAACTGTGTTTGATTTTTTTCTATCAGGTGCCATACCTGACATTTTAAGATCGCTAGTAAATCGTTATGCGTTGTTTTTGTAAAGAATTCAGTAGATGGTGGAGTATTAAAAAATTTAATGGTTGCGTACACTGTCGAAAAAAGGCGTGTAAAAAAATATTTGAAGAAACGGTAGTTAGGGATATTACGTTTTATTGTNTTTTAGAAGAAACGGTAGTTAGGGATATTACGTTTTATTGTGTATTTGCCATTCAAAGAAAATGTAAATCATTTGGGCAAATATGAAAAAAATGTTATATACCAATATTTGTCGGTCGCGATTATCAGTGTATTTTATGGAGAGAGGAAGAAAATATCAATGAAATACTCTTTCTTATGGAAAAAGTATTTTATAACACTCTGGTAGAGCGAGGTGTTTTAAAGTTTTGTTTTCCTTTTATGACAACGCGAGAGACAACTGTGCTATGTTTGCCGCACTGTAACTTTTTTTGATCTTTTGGCATATCTTTGAAAGAAATAGGTCAGGTGAGAGCAGAGGTTTTTTTCTTTTCATATTTAAAGAAGTTTTAGCGGCGTTTATTACAGTGCTTTTTAAGCTTATTCATATTTGTTCATTGACTCTTCCCACTCATCTTTATTGTTATATATTATATTCATATTCTTCTTTAGGTCCTCTACTACCTCTAAGGTTTTCAAATTTTTGAAATTTCAGATGCTTTGTTTTTATTCAACTTTAACAATTTTTTTAAACATAACACGAATTTTCTTACCCACTAGTTGATTATCACTGACATCTGCTCCAGAATAAGTTTTGCAAGATCTGACTCGGTTTCTAAAACAATTTTTCACTAATATATAGTCTGAAATCTTCTTATATCGCCAGGCATTTTCAATGCATATCGTCTTCTCTTGTGTTCTTCGAACAATATATTCGCAATCACGAAATTATTTCCTCAACTAAATTCTATTAATCAGTCCCCCCTCTTGCGTTTCTTTGCGTAATCTATATTTTCCTACTTCTCTATAGTCTTTTTTCTCACCTACAACAGCATTCCTGTCGTCCATTAGAAAAACGTTATATTTTCTTTTGAGAGTTTTAGTAGTTCTTCTATTCTAGCACATATCTTAGGAACTTAGAAATTTATATAAGCTATGTCATTCTTTAAATATTTATTACTAGAAGCTAAAAGGTTGCTTGAAGTGCTTAAGGATATATCCTCAAGCACTTCAAGCAACAAGACAATCCATGAAAGCTTTAACACATTCATAAGCTAAAAGGTGTTATGATTTTATTATTACATAAATTTTAGTTGTTTAAGTACCAATTTATACTTTTACATGTTCAAATGTTAACGATTTATAGTTCTTCAGATTAATTCATTTGTTATAATTTGTTATTTTATGTGTTTTAGTTTGAAAAGCTCTACGGCTTCTAAAGGCTTTTCAGTGGGGGTGCATGTTATCGCTAAGCTCGAGATTTGTATAGTTAATGTTTAGCGGTATGGGTGTGGTTAGGTAATGGTGCTCGTGAGCCATCAGCTGTTAAGACGCCTTATCAACGGCTGGCCGTTGAGTTAGAAATGTCGTTTTTACGACTAAAAAAAACAAGTTTTATTCCATTATGGTTTTAATATTTAAAATGTTTTTATAGTGTATATGTAGTATCACATTTTAATACATGTAATAATTAATACTTATATTTAATAAAATATATCACCAAATCAGTGTTCCCCCGTGGATAAGATGAATAATAAAATAATACCCTTACACAAGATTGAACCACTCTCTTACGCATTTCATAAAACGCCCACGTAAAATATTTGAAAAGCTTGAGGATTTATCAATGTTTGCAGTTGATTGCTGACGTTTCGGACTCATTGCAGAGTCCATTTTCGGAGCGATAGTTACAGCTCGGTGGCTGAAACTATACTGGCGGCTTATCTTGTTATCAGTCTGTTTTTATACGTTGGTTGTTTATCATAACAGTTGTTTACCGTATCGGTTGTTTATCATATCTGTTTATGACTCATGTTGTTTACGGTATCTTGTTTTTGCTGATGTTTTTGTTGACGACATTGTTTTTGATTATTGTTGTTGTTTTTGACATTCTTGGCATTTTGGTCTTCCTTTTCTGCACCGACAGTTTTCCATTACGTTGATAGTAATTTTTTCTTGTATTGAACTGTTTTCAGTGTTGTTAGTTGATTTTCTTTTTGTTTGGTGTATGATGGGTAACCAAGTTTTGCTTATATCCATCCGTCTTATCTGTTGAAATTCTCTGGACATTTTCGAATTTTTTTTGCCTCTTTGTACATTCGTTTGCTAAAATGAGTTTCTTTGTTTAATATTTTTACTTTATCGAATTGGATGTCATGTCCTTTGTTTTTAGCGTGTTCGGCTACTGCGGATTTTTCTGTCATGTCATATAATTTTACAATTCAAAGAATTTTTTTTATTATTATTAATTCAATCAAATAGTATAATTAATTCTCATTTCAACATTTTTTTCTCGAAAAATCTTGATTTTTTTTTCATTTTCTTTACAATTAGTTGAAAGATTTGGTTGAATTATTATGTCTTAGAGATCAATTCATTTTTCAATCAAAGATTTAAAAAAAATTATTTAAAATAAGTTGATATATTTTATACCTTCTATTATAAATATAATAAACTATTATAATAAAAATAAACTATAATATAAATAATAAAAATAGAACCATATTATTATGTTATTCTAATTATTTATAGAAATTTAATTGTAATGGCGTTTAAGGCACTTCATCTGTTGTTTTAAATTTCAAAACTACATTCATAAACAAAATTATAAAACATTGAATTAAAATTTTAATTAATATTAATTTGTTTTAAATACCTAGTTTAATTGACTCGAACGGTTTTGGTATAAACGATTCTTCGGTATTAATTAGATAAAATTAAATCCGAGATGAAAATACTTTTCTACTATTACTATCTTGATATAATCCTTAATTTTTCTGATTAAGAATTTGAAAAAATTTTGATTTTATGCCTTGGTCAATAATGACATTATACTTTTAAGTCCATTCGTTACATAAATAACTCGTATAATAAAGTGTAAATTCAAAATAGAAGAGATTTTGAAATGTTATTGAATGCGATATGTGGACGGCTGATGTGAGCGTAGATGATGTGAGAGATAGTATCAAGTAGAAGTTTAGGATAAGGATGTTCGTCCACCAAGTAGTTGGGATTAAGGAGAGGAAAAAGAAGAAACATAGTAAGAACTCAACATTTTTAATTTAATTTTTTTAAATTAACTAATAAATATAAATATATGTATATATATTGATAACAAATATATTATAATATAAATATATTATACATTATATTAAATATATTATTCAAATGACAGAGGTCGACTTCAGACGACTCGCACACATTTGTATTTTGTGGTAATTAAAAATAAATTTTTAAAACTCCTAATTGAAAATAAATGTTTTACAAAAAGCAGTTGATTTTTGTCATAAACTCCAGCTATTTAAACTTTTTTTAATAACAATATTTTTTTTGTTTTGTTGAGGAAATTAACATTAAGTGCATAAAAAGATAATAATAAAATGCTAAAAATAAAATTTCATTAACATATTTGTTTATAATAGGTTATGATAGGTTGAAAAATAAGTTCAATTATTGTTTTACACAAGCTTATTTATATAGAAGATATCTTGCTCATGTACAATAATAATTCTCATTAATAATAAAAGAAGTATTTTTATCAGAAAAATGTTATATTTTAATTTGATAAACAATAATGAACTATGCCCATTGCCAAAAATAATTTTGATATATTTTATTAAAACCTGTATTTTCGTAATCGGTTTTAATAAAGTTTTCACAAAATTCACATAAATATTTTAAAATTAGATCATACCTAGTGATACGGGTGTCATTTGACATTGCTTTGTTAGCAGTATGTACATAATTAAGAAATTCAATTTCCAGATTTTCTTTAGTCAACATTACAGCTTCTGAATGACAGTGATTCATTTGAGGACGTTTTAAATTACGTAACCCATTGATAAAATGACATCTTACATTTTGAAAACTTATAATATAATCATTAGCTATTTTTTCAGTATCTTCTTTGGGTTTGTTAACAAAATAATCTCGAATTACGTTATTAGCTTTAAGATCAATTACATAATTATATATTAATTTGTGAGTTGAAATTAAATTAGAAAATAACTTTTCATTTGGCCAAATCGTTGATAGTTTTATTTTTTCTATAATTGTCATCATATAATCGAACATTTTCACTGTACCATTAATTACGTCAAAAAGACATGTTACACATTTCAAATAATCTTTTTTTTTTTTTTTATCTCTTCTACACCATCCATTTAAAACAGTTAATGATGTATTGTAAACTAAAAGCACTTCGTAAAATCTACACCTCACCAAATGTGTAAAGTAATGTTTTTTAAGATAAATATTATGATCTGTCACTTGGTCTCTTATCACACTTTCGGCACTTATTTTTAAATCACCATATTGTATTTTTATGTGACTAAATGAACTCCAACTACCCTCATTAAATAAAGTATTGAGTGTCATGATTCCAAGTTTTTGATTAATACTTTTGTCGATAGGAGGTTTAAACCTGTAAAAAAATCATATTAATTTTTAAAATTATTTCAGTTTAAAAGATATTAAGTTTCTATAAATTGTGATTTATTAAGGAAACTATTCCCATAAAAATTTCAAGATTAGTCAGTTCCACAGTAGTCCAAAACTCAATTCTATCTAAACAAATTTCCTATTTTAATGTATGCAAAAAAATTCAAACCCGTTATGAAATACTGACTTTGATATGTACCTTATAAATAATCTAAAGTATCAAGTTTTCTGCGTATGACATTAATTGATAGCCACCTCACGCATAATATAAGACAGTAGGTTTGTATAAATGTAACGGATTTTAACATATTGCCGCCTTTTTCTTTATCATTATTATATTTTTTCTACTTAGACGCTGTAACATAAATGTTATCGTATGACGTTGTTAAGAATTTATAGTTTCGTTTACATGTAGACCAAATTTAAATGTAAATTTGTGAATCAAAAATAATGTTTTTTCAACTACTTCAAAATAATTTCGATGTGTAACAGATTTATTACAAGACCAATAGAAAATAATCATAAATATAAGATTCAAAATATATGTTATACTTACTTTTGATGTGTTGGATTTATCAACTGAATAAATCCAAGACCTTCGTAATTAATTTTAATAGTTTCAGTGTAAAATAAATTTATCTTATGATAAATAAAAAATATGAAATTTGTGTAATCTGTGTTGTTTGCCCAATATTCTGATTCAATTTTAGATTTAAAATCAATTTTATCAACAGTATTTGTAATAAATGTATTATTCTGGAGAAAGTTTTTTGCAATTTTAGATATATCATCAATGAACTTTTTTGTTTCGAGAAATACTTCGAGATCAACATAAAGAAACTCATTTTGAATTTTTTTAAAATACATGTGATTTTTTATCTCATAAATGTCATCAACTATGGTGAACAAATTACTTTGTGACTCTAAAATGACAAATTTAAGGTCTATGTAACTAATAAATGTCATAGCGTTATATAAATTCTCAAACATTGTTAATGAATTTTTTACTTCGTTAACAAGTAATTTTGTAGAATTGTAAAAATCGTACAATAATTTAGCATTTAAAAAGTTTTCACATATATCAATAACAATACTTATTAATTCCACGAATATCAAAAGCACTTCGTTATACCTGTAGTTTAAAAAATGAATAATATTACAGAAAATACTTTTCAAATTATCGCAGTCAACTTGTTGTGCCATTATATCTGTACCACTAAATTTTTTATCTGAATCAAGATTTATATATAAATTTTCCATAGACTGCCATCCTTTTTGAATGCACATATGTTCAACTACATTAATTAAGTAACTCAAATATGGTGTGTGTGAAATTATACAATCTATAAAGTTAATATTATATTGGACTAAAGACAAAATTAAAATTATTAATCTGAAATGCATGTCAAAAATCTAAAAAGCAATAGTTACAGTATAAAAAATATAAATTACAATAGCCAATTTTGTTCATTATTTATTGTAATATTCATACCTAAAAATACTGTGGTTGTGTTTAAATGTGTGCTAACAAATTACTAATTTATTTAGAGTTAGTATACATATTCATATTATTTATTATAATACAATTTTAACATTAAGAATAGAATTTTTGTAAATTAATTTTTTTTTTAATAATTATTTAAAAACATTTATTGGATATTGTGTCTATACGCTTTAGAATTTCAAAAATGTCTGTAAATATCTTGGTATATGTTCTATATCATATATATCATATATTCTATAATCTACAGATTGCGTTTCAAATTTGATAAAAAAATGATAAATCAAAAAATTAAGAAAATTCCATTAAGAATTTTCTAAATATAATTATTATTTTAAGACATATAATTTGTGATCTTGGATGTATCTAAATCAATAATTTCTGTTATATGTAACAGACAATAAAAGACACATAATAAAATGTACTTTCGATTATAAAATTTACCTAATTTTGTAATTGATACACAACAATAATTTAAACAATGAAAGTATTGGTATGACAATAATATGATAATAATGTATAAGCCAACCAAAGGCACTAGTGATGCAATGGATAAGAAAACATAAAATTATTCTGTAGTAATAATAAACAAATTATCTTTAAATGTAGTCTAAGAAAGTAATAATTATAAAAAAAAATTCAATAAAATAATTGTTGAATCAAAAATTTTAAGCATTGTGTAATATTATTTTGATACTTAGTTGAATTCAGACGTCTCGTTGGCGATGGCCAGTGACATGTCGACGCCGCTGAGGCGTATAATGGTTTAATTTTGTTTGCATGGCCCTTGCCTTAAAACCCATAAATGAGTTCATACAGCTGCACGTAAGGATTAGCAATATACAACGTATTACTTATCATTGTTTGTTTACACAAATCAATTCTCGTACCGCGTTATAAAGGACATCTTTCTTTTTAATTAAATAACGTATATTATCACATAAAATTTTTATTACCATGATTCATTATAACAGACCTAAGAGCCCTCTGGGGTCTCATCAGCTTTTGACAATCCGTCGAAGAGCTACTTCTATTTTTCCACCTCAAGTGTTCACACTTACCCAACCCAACACTTACGTGCTCAACGTCACTTCCTTTTTACTTTGCGGTCTTTTATCTGTCTTAATTTGTGACTTGGTGTTTTTATTCTTGATATAATTTAATAGTTCAATTTAATGTAAATTCATGTTTGAATTATAATATATGATTATACAATAGACTGTTTTTTTCTTTCTATTTATTTAACATCGAATAATCTGATTCGCTTTCTTCCCCTCTCTACACCGTGGAACAAGATTTGCAGTCAAGATATATCAGGTAAGAGTAGTCTAACACACTAACTACAATTAATAGTAATAACTAATAAAAGACAATTTAATTAATAATTTAATATTTTCTTCTTTCGCTTAAATATACCTTCGTTCTAACTTCACATATCTAACGATCCCTTCTATTAATTTATTTATATTATCTATCGGTATCTAACTTCACTATCACTCACTCCCTCTTCACTCTCTTTTTATTAGTTATTACAATTGTCAGATAGGTTTTGAAATAAAACAATCTTCTAGATTCTAGAAGATTATAATTTGTGGATAATAATTATGATAACGAGCACAACGCAAGTAGAAAAAATAGGCTCATTGTATGGATCTATTTGGTTAAACAAAAGAACACAATATCAATAACAACAGATGAAAATATTGTGAAATTTATTAATATTATGTTAAATATTATATCAAATATACATATGATTGAATTAATATATGAATATATAAACAATGATCTCTCTTAAAAGTATTATAGTTGTTTAAAATATGTGCACATATTTGCAGATTTAAAATAAATAATTCACTGTTTTAGTAAGTAATTTTCAAATTTAAATGATCAGCAAATTTGCAAGACAAGGAAATAAAACTTTATGTGGTATTATATTACATATGATGTAACTCAATTCCAAATTTCGGATCCGTATTCCAGAATTGATGGTACTAAAGAGTAATAGAGTATTTTCAGACATTTTTTCTTTTTTTTTTTTTATTGTAGAAAAGGATATAATTGTATACAATATATAATAAATTCTCATAATAAAATATTATATACAAGTAATTTAAAAAAATAAAAAAGAAACAACTTGTTGAGAGCCCGTCCTGTGGCGGGACTCCAACTAACTTAAGTAACTTATTAAAATTAAATAAATAGCTATTATTACAGAATTACTTTTATAATTGAAGTATATCTCTACTCCAAGATCTTTTTAGTCGATGTGAAGGATTATCAGGAATTTTTTGGGAAGAGGGGAGTTGGGTTATTTTAGGGTCGGTTGTAGAATTTTTTTTATTTGAGGATAAAAGATTGTTTTACGGTAAGAAGTTGAAGATTATTATGGATTGCTTCATTTGATATATAAGGAGAAGTATTGAATATAAGACGAAGATACGTAAAATAGTTATAAGGGTTATAATAGTAAAAGGTGGAAAATCTGTGAAAGATATAAAATCGTGGAATGGGTAAGTATCAGTATCTCAGTAATCCAACGTTGATTCTAGTATTAAATGCACTACGTATATGTTTCACACTACACTTCATTTAGTCAAAATAATTATTTATGACAATGATTCATTAAACACAAAATCCATGACTGATTTTTATTTCCAAAAGATTCTAAACACTCCATATTTTTATTTGAAATATATTTTTATAATTTTTCCTTGTTTAATTGTTTTATCTTTGTTCAATAAATTGTTTTATATATAATTTAATATATTTTATTAAGACATCGACACCAATATTTCTTAAACCTTCGTCTGGCCTGTCCAAAACAAGATTCAAAAATTTTTATATCTATGTAAACATTTTATAAATTCGTATAGTGGTGTCCCGGCTCAGACACCTTGAAATGATACGGCACAATAATCACCAAGACAAAAATTAATCGCAAAAAAATATATTCGTAAATTTCTTTGCGCAGTCCGCTGACGCGATATCCTTTAGAACAAAGACATTAAGCTTAGGGACTTGATTAAGTAGGAAAGTTCACAATAATTTTATACTATCAAATAAAAATTTGAAATTGGGTATGAATTATTAAAATAAAATAATTTAAAAAAACGATAGCACAGTGAGGTCGCGTCACAGTATGGACGTGGCATAGTTGGTACAATTTTAGATAATATCTGACAGTGATTAAAATCACTATCATTAGAAACGCTTCAATGCAAATCTGTAGATAGTGTTTAATTTTAAAAGGTTGATAGATTATTTCAAAAACAACAATAATTCTTATACCATTAATTTTATCCCGATTAGTTATTTGATTTATTATTATAGTATATGAATAAATAATAATTATTGTAATTAAATTTAGTATGAAATTGATATTCAATAATTTAATATTGTAATACTTTTCAATAAAAAATGTTTGTTATTTATAACAGAATTATAAGTTTTATACACTGGACTACAAGGAACTTTCCTCAGAAACAAAAATATACTTTTCTAAATCAACTTTTCGCGATGTTTTCAAATGTGCAATTAGACTTTTTCTATTACTTCTAAATTTTAATATTATTACTTATTATTAAAAAATAATATATTTATATATAAAAAAANTTATTACCATAAACTTTAGCTCAATTGGCAAGTTTGAAATTGACATCATTAAATAGATAATTTTATGACAATTAAAAAAATTGTATTGTTAAGATTAATAGGCAGTCAGGAAATTTTATAATTACTATTTATAGTAAATTTATTAGAGTAGTTCAATATTTTTTTGCATTTTTATCGTAATAGATAACTTAAATAGAAATAATAGTAATCATTTCCTACTATAAAATTTGGAATATTATAATCTAGTAGTAGCACACAAAATTAGAGTAAAAAAATTATTAAATTACAAAGTAAAATGATTTAATTTTGTAGTTGAAACCTATCATATCAAACTTGATTCGTCAATAAATATTTTGAAAACATTAGAAATTAATGATTTTAATTGTCTTTATGGAGAACATGTGATNAAAATGAATGATTTTAATTGTCTGTATGGAGAACATGGAATAACTAACTGTTTAATTGATATATTTTTAAATTTTTGAGGGTAATATCTTCAACTAGATACGAATTGTAGTCATTTGACGTATCGTTGAAAAAAGTAGGTCAAGTTAGAGCAGAGAAAATAAATGATAGTCACAAAAAAATATCTTCTCAGCTTTGCATCGAAGCTAAAACTTAAAATATAGTAAAATAATTTTAATATGAATAAGAAATTTCTTCTCGCTATTGGCGACTACAGTGATGGGATCCTTGATCATTATTGAAGTTATTGAATTTAAATGAGATGATGAAATAAAAATCAAGGGAGTTGAAAATTTATTTTAACTTAAAAAGAATTAAGAAAAAAATTGCAAAAAATTCTATTTCGTACACTGGTTGGAACCTTATACCTCAAGCGCGTTAGACACAAGTTTTACTGACACGACAACCGTACGTCGCTTAACTTTACAGAAAAAAATGGCAATTTAAGCTAGTTAAAATTTCAAAGCTATTTTTCTGGACTTACAAAATGCAAAAAAAATTAAATAAGTTTAATTTTCTATGCTATATCAATTTGATTTATATAATATTTATGAAAATCAGTCTACTCCCCTTGTCAGGTATTTTAAACAAAATAAAATACAAAACCCAGAATTTTAACATAAAATAGCATATTTTTGAATACGGTAGTCATTTTTACCATAAAGACCAATCCAAGAGTCAAATTTTTTTTTTTTCAGATTAAAGAATATTACATTGGCTTTAATTTAAGGTATATATAAAAGTGTCAGTTTTTCCGAAACATTTTCAAAAGTTAATTTTTTTAAAAAAAGTTACCATTTTGAAACCCTTCCTGTGAGCTGGTAAAGGGTCAAATGTTCATAAAAATATATAAAATGATAGGTAAATACCTAAGGT